TTAAGAGCAACATGTCTGTCCTCATTTCCAAGATTGATTGTCCTCTTCACAAGGCAAACCTCATCTGTTCACTTCTTTTAGGAATTCTTGTCGCTGTTGATGGATACATGAATTTGCAAATGGCCAACGCAGAAGAATACATTGACGGAAACAATACAGGAAACCTCGGAGAAATTTTGATCAGGTAATTCGCATCTTTTTATGGATATCTGTGATGGTGTGATTCTTAGAGGTGTCTTTGATCTATATTCATTGAATGACGTATCTCTATCAACCAGTATCTGGCTTTATACCTCCTTTCGCAATTTTAGAAAGGAGCTTAAAAAGATCTCTTAAATTGGAACTCTTAGTAATTTGCTTCATAAGAAATGGAAGCTTGTGATGTCATCGTTAAGAACTCCTTTTGATAATGAAAATCTTTCAAGCGCTTATGTGAATTTGGCACTTTTTATTACGTTTTTTTCTTGGCATACTTTTGATTTTCACATGGTGAGGTTTTTTTCGGTAACTTCTTACCCGTATTTCGAAGGTTTCTCTCCGTGCGTTAGTTTAGGAAAGCGCTGCAGCTCTTTTTTTCTGCTTGTCCTATACTTACGCTACTGTTACTGTTCATGTGTAGGTGGCATTGCGATGTACTCCGGAAACTAAAGCTCTTTCAATTACCGTCTGCAATCAAATTCATCCGCAATATAGAATTACACTTTTTGCGCATATCGAATGAGAGGTATGGACAGCATCGCGTTTCGCAGCGCGAAACATTTTTCGCTGCGGGAACCTCAGGTCCACCATGATCATCAGTGGACCCGAGGTTCCTGCAGCGAAAAATGTTTCGCGCTGCGAAACGCGAAAAAGTCGCTTTCTGTCCTAGTTAACCACAAACGAGGTGCTGTGGAAGAGACGTGTCAGACTTCGCGATTATGAAAATTGGCACCAGCGATCTCAGCAAATCGAGGGCGTGGCAAAGTGGCGAGAATGAAATCGCTGACGACGAAATGATCTTCCCAGTAGCAAAGTTTGATATTTGCCAAAGGTCGCAGTCATACTTCGCGACTGCCTTCCTTTTCTGGCGGTTGGGGGGGGGTGGAGTCATTACAAATCGGTCGGACAACGCAGTATTGCGTAGTCGATACTTATTTGCTCTAAACTCGGACTGCAGGACTGTGGCAATATTACTGCGGCCTACGGGAAAAGGACCACTGCTTGAGGTTCGACGAACGGTATTCTTATTGCGGCGGTATTCCGTCTCCTCCTACATCTCGAGCCTAAATCGAACAGAAATGTTTTATTGTCAAAAGCAAGGCCGCGCCTATACTGTGCGATTATCTTGCAGCTCGAGTGTGGAACATAAGTATCAACCGTGCGATCGCGTTCGCAAATCTACGCTGCAGTGTACATGGTGCGCGTCGTGGTTGTTATTGGTCGCTTTTTGTCGTCTATTTTATTGGCTCACTTGTCCTTTCGATTCATCAACTCATTTTTTCTCTGGTTCTGCTACTTTACCTGAGTAATGCTTTTGGGGATCTGTCACTTCTCTTTGTTCATGAATCGGAAACACTGCATAATGTGAGGGCCAAAAGGAAAATAACCTGGCACGAATTGCAGTGCATGCCAAGCGCGTTGCGGGGGATCGGACCATGTATAAGTCGAGTGTTTGATCGGTAACGTTCGCACAGAAAAATATAAATAGATACATGTAAATTCGATCGTCCGACGTGCGACAGGACAAAGTCCAACTGGAGAAGCGACAATATTTTGCAAGATCGGAGGCGGCGTATCCAACCAACGGAGGGTTGTAGTGTGACGCTTTACGCTTTGTGAGTGCTGAGAAAAAAAACTGCCGTTTCACTGTTGATATATACCCTCCGCTCGACGGCTATTTTGGAGGAAATGTGGGTGGAGTTGGGCTGTGTCAACTGGTCTCAGAATCAAATACTATAGTAACAGCTCTGATGGTAAGGGTGGTGGTCGTTATTGGTGGACCTCCTGAGTCTCATGGTGGTGGAGGGGGTCGTGAAAAATTTCCAAAAAGTACCAACGGTAGGGTATGACCCTAGGGGGTGCGTAATTTGTGAATTTAGTCCAACGTGACGGTTGACCATGCATGCGACACACATGCGACCATCACGACGGTAGCGATCGTTACGATCGCACGTGTCAAATGATCGCAAAGTATAACCACTGCTAAAGAAGTAATTTTCGCCACGTCAAGGTCAACTGAGAATCTTTTAACAACCATTTCTTTCGTAACCCCTGCAAATGGGCTCCTATCCTCCTGACTTCCCATTTTACGAAAGCGTCTTGGAGCAAGAGAGAAAGAAGATCCGAAGCAAGGGAAGTACATACCGAGATATACAACAGTGGTAAGATGGAAGTTGCTCAGAATTCCTATTGAAATTCGAGAATCCTCCGTTTAATCCTGGACCATCCGATCCAGCGGCTCTTGATAGATCCTTTTCTCTCCTTCTTTGTTGATGATTTTTCGATCTGCGCTTGATTCATATTCTTGTCGTTCAAAATAGACTTTTCCTACTTCTTATTATCGAGGCTGTGCAGAGTTCACAAATTTCGAGTACTACAATATGGGGTGAGGAGAGAGGCATGGAGTGATTTTTGGGCCGCTTACAAGTTATTTCCAAATTTGCACGGCGAGTAAAACTCTGGAAGTGGGCAAAACGGAAGCCAATTGTTCTAGCACCTTGGGATATCCACTTCCTGCGAAAATTGGAAGTACTGTAATCGGTGCACACTTTCGCATCATTCCCTATCTACCTTCCTATTGTTGGAATAGGTCCTAAACTTCTTATCCAACTCATACAGTTCAATAAATACTCGAGCGCATGTAGAGACATGTAGAGTACGTTTCTCTTCTGTAGCAGAATACAGTTCAAAAGAAATTTTTTGTTTTAAGACATCAATACTGACGTGCCTATGTTTCTTTTTGTCCACCAAGCAGAAAAGCCTATCTTTCGTTATCACTAAGCATAAGTACTGCAATTACAGGTGCAACAATGTTTTGTATGTGGGAGGAGTCGACGGCGATACTGATTCTTAAAACAAATACTTGTCCATTCTTGATCTTTGCGTGTTGTTTCCTGTTGTTGCTCCGATTTCTTGATATGTTATCTGTCGTTTATTTCAATAAATCTCCTCATCTGCGTTACTGTTTAGTCAATTAGATGCTCTAGGCATCCAGTGTTTCTGACTGATTTTGCTGCCTTCATCAAGAGGAGTGGCTGCTTGCTTTGCAAACGATGTTGGTTTACCTTATTAAGTTTTAAGTACCCTAATTTCCGGTAGATAAGCCAGCGCCGATATCACGTAAAAACACCCTCCTGGTGCAGTGCCACTTGCACACATCTAGAGGACAACCGTAACTTGCCAAGGGGGAAGTTCGATATGCTGATTACGATAACTACATTCATTTCAGCATTGGCGCACTGATTACGAATATAACATTTGTTTTTGGAACTAACGTTGTTCATGGCATATTTTTTGGTTGGAGAGCACAAACGAGCAGAAAACAAACGCCAGCGCCGAAAATGGATGTCATATTTGTATTCAAGACACCAAGCAACCCCTATACGGAAGTTTACACCAAATTTGGTGAAAATAGGTGTCGTGACAAGGTGACGTCAACTGGACGCCAGATGGCACACCGCTAAAAATGAAATTTAGTTCAGTGTAAGTGAAGGGAAATTCATTCTCTGAATCCAAATTATACGATGTATGTATACTCGAGATCCGTAAGTTGGGGTAGGCGTGTCACCGGAAGTGACGTGTACTTGATAGAATCTATGTGGATAAGGTGCTTCCAATATATCGCGAGATATCAGCAAAGCATGCTGGCAGCGACTTACCTACGCAACTTCTATCAAGTCCACGTCACTTCCGGTGACACGCCTACCCCAACTTTCGGATCTCGACTGTAATGTTACAAAATTACCGCTGTACGACCGGAGTGTGTTTTAGTCGAAATCAGCGCGGACTTATCTACCGGAAATTAGGCTTAGTCACTTGCCAGTTTCGGGCTGCAGGTTTTTTGAATCGCTTCTCGCCGTGAGAATAAACATAAAATTTGTCTGGGATGATGAACACAGTCAAACTCCAGAGACTACAGTCATCCTTCGGGTCGTTAGATACACTAAGTTGCTGAACATCCAAGCAATAAAAGTGATTGACATCGGATTGGATTTTCCGAAACTAATTTATCCTTTTCAGTATTCAGAAGCGAGAAGTAAGCGAAGCATTATTCGTGCGTAGCCGAGTGAAAAGTTCCATTGGATGTCTAGCTGAGAAATAACCAAGTCTCCTGGAGAAGCGCCCATGACTGACGGTCGAGATCGGCGATTTATTATTAGCCTAAGTTCTAGTGAATCGAGCAGTTTAGATGAAATATCTCAAAGAGATGATGATTCTGAAGGGTGGGCTGATTGCCAGACTTCGTGTGACTCTCCGCAGAGCCGAGAGATCGATATTCATGGTGAACCAACGGCAACTGTCGGTGGGCAGGGAGCTTGCAGTGATCAAGTAACTAAGGATATGCACTCGGAAGCATCACCCAAACAGGGAGTAGCCCTTGATCAAGAGGTCTCTAAGCCTTCATCAGTGGCAAAACCCTCTCCGGAAACCTGTAAAAGCAAAATTTTTGCTGGAAGTGCTCTATTCGGGGCTGGTTTTCCGTCTGGTCCACCGCCCTCAGGCAATGTGATTATCCCTTCTGAAAAAGACGATCAGCAGCTTCCACGATATCGAGTTGCGAGCGACTCGGAATGGGATGCGATGGAAATTGAGAAGAAAAAGAAGGCTGCTAGTACTCCTGCAAGTGGTCCGTCTTTTCGCAGTACGCGGCGTAAGGAACCCTCCTCAAATGTGAGTGTGCCAAGTTCGTTCCGCTCTACAGCCACATATTGTCTATATACTTTTGCGTTTGTTAATTCAAGTTTCCAAAGAATGAGTCCACGAAAAATGTGAAACAGTCCACAAGACGTTCGACTGAAGCAGCTTCCGAACAGCGACCAACATATGAAAAACAGGTGGGTCATATTTCGAGTCCTGAATCCATTAGTCTAGATCCATACACCTTCCTTAAACAAAACAATGGGGAACTAGTGCACCAAAATGAATCACTCGTTCTCATTTCGAAGATAATTTAATCTTGGGGGTAGTCCACCTCTTGAAAAAAAAGAAACAGGTGTCAGCAAGTCGAACGCTCACATTTTCTAGAGTGACCAAAGTAAGAGAGATGTGGAAAAGAGAACATATCCCGGTGAGTTGTCCATGGAAAGGACGCGAAGGGAAGAAACCATCCAGCAATCGGTATTGAAAGCGGAAAGTGTTTCCCACTTGTTTTTTCCAAGATTCCATAAAGTTATTATGTGAAGTGGAATCTCTCTTGAATTTCAGCCTCAAAATTTGGTGTACAGAAGCTACACGAGCAATCCTTCACGAAACCGGCGGACGGTTAGCAAAAAGGATTTTGTGAACGTCTGCCGACAATTAATAGGTTCTGAAAGCGAAGACGAGGTACCGAGTGGAGTTGCTTCATGGCTCTAATGCTACTTTTTTTTGCTATGCTGTGTAAAATAGGGTCATACATCGGTCATCATGATGACAACTAAGAGGGACAATTGCTTGTGGTGATCTCAAGACTACTATATCAGTCCGAGATCAAAGTTGCACTTTGCTCAGGTTTTACATCATATTACGAGGAACGCGGGTACCCCCCAGGAGGCCCGTCGCGCGGCAAGAAGGCCGAGTCAGCGGACGAGTTGCGCGCGTATTAGGGAAATCGCGTCAAGTTAAATAGAATGTCCCATTGCACGTCCTTCATCGCACATCACGCGCCGCGACTCGTCCGCCGACTCTGCCTTCTTGCCGCGCGATGGGCCTCCTGGGGGGTACCCAGAACGCGACCATTTTTATGCGTTGTTGTATCTCCCCAGTAGTTGTTTGTAGTGTAAGTCTGCAAGTTTGAGATTTCAGTCGTAACTCGTAGTTCAAGCCCATGTTTGCAAAGATTGACTGAATTCGAAGAAGTGTGTTGTCCCTGGATTAGAATTAACAGCCATTCATTACATTCTTTTTCAGCAATACTGTGATGAGCTCGATCTGGAACAGAACCAATGTCTTCCAGCCAATCATTCCAAGTTGGCGGATTTTTTTACTTCTGGAAAGATTTC